TCTGTCGACATTTTGCCTGAAACTTTATCGAGTGTGTTATGTTGGAATGATCAAGGAAGCTGCTGTGGTAATGTCGTGAATGAGTTAATGTAATAGGAGCCCAACGTTCGGAACTCAAAAAGGGTGAAAAAAGTCATCCCAACAACTATCATCAGTTAATTTCTTGGAAGGGGTGCAGGATGAACAAATATCACTATTGAAAACGAAATTTATTAACGCTCTATCGAATTTAGTAACAATACTGCTTCTCTAAAGATGATCACTGACCTTCACTCATATGAGCTTTGTCCATCATGTTGTTATAATCGCCACACTTGGCGATAGAAGGTAACAAATCAAGAAGAAACGTTGGACAAAGATCTTGTATAAGCACATAGTCACTTGAATCCAGTCTGAAATTACTAACTACTGAATGGATGTAATCGCACTCAGAGATTGATATAGAAGGAATACGCACTTCACGGTTGCGTCGGTGAGGATTTTTCGAGTGATTGACGGTGACAATGAAGAGGTAGGCCAAATTATGAACTATAAAAATAGGTTTAAAAACAAATCCAACTTGCAAAATAACCACTTGAACGCTATTCAATCAAAGCAAAACCTCTAATTCTGAATCGTGCAGCCATCCTTGTTCTACCCAAGCGCCAACTCTCTTTGCAAACATTTTCCAAGCCACCTGAAAAGATTTACTAGCAGAATATGGACGATGCAGGCCAGTGACTCGAAGACTGATCGTATGGAGAGCTTCCATTAGCGTTGGTAGAGATGGCGTCAAACTCAAAAATGAAGATGGCTCTTAATGATATATTTTCTCCACTAAACTACTCGACAAAGAGGAAAGTAAAAGCGCAATAAATGAAAACCTCATCGATAAAACTCAAAGGCAAATGAAAATAAAGCATGAATGAAGCTGCGTTAGTCAGTGCTCGATGTATCACGCTACCAGGGAGCTTGAGTCTCCATAAAGAAGTGACTCTTAGGGTATCACATGCCCCTTCCCCTCCCAGCATTGAAACCCTCATTTCTCCAAAGGCTCACCTCGAATATCTCCTGAAGATCTTGTATTTCTTTCTCCACTACAGCCCTCATTCGCATGTTGTACAACAGTGTCAGTACCTGACCTCCGATCAAGCAGTCCTAAAGAAAGTGGTCTATAACATGGGCTAAAACAAAATGAAAAGCCAACACACCTTTTTCAATGCAGCAACCACATTAGCGTACACTTTAATAGACGACTGCACAGTAGCAACACTGCGACTAAGCGTATTCAAACCAAAATCAGCCAACTGAACTTTAGGCACTTCAAAAGCATTGAATATTGTGCACAAGACCTTACGCCAATATCACGAAACAGTATCCTTACGTCATATGCTTCAGCTTCAATGATGGGAGATACAAGCTTGTTCAATCGCTTCATTATTTCCTCAGCTACAGCCCTCGTTGTAAGAGAGAACGAATAATCATGCTTTAGAGCTATAATTGGATGAAAACGAGATGTCTGTTGATTGATAGGGAATAATAAACTAAGAATAATATCCTCACCATATCCGTAAACTCGAACGTGCCAGATGTCAATGAAACTTTTCTTGAATCTCTCCACCGCTGACCTGAAAACAGCTTTTAGAAGCCTGATCGTTAAAGACTTTCAGTGTTCTGGAAGCGAACCTCATGAACGGATCTAACGAAGGATTCACTTTTATTCCCACTGGCGCGTCAGTATCGGATCCGTAAGTGAAGCGGATATTTTCCGTTTCGTAACCCTAAATTGAAAGATTGTAGATTTAATGATGTCTCAGAGAACAGTAGTGTCCTTATTACTTCACCCATTCCTCATATACTCAACAATTAGGCTTCCTGCTGGTTTCAAGTGAGCTATAGTCTAACTTTGAAGCAAACAAACCATTGAGGTGAGACTCGTAATTGAAGGCGCCAACATAGCTGAACTCACCGCTAAAACCATTCGGACTTCATCGTTCATAAAATGTTCCTGTTCTTC